AGCTAAAGAAAATTTAATTTCTTAAATCATTGATAACGGTGGAACTTTTTCTAAATAACTGAATTACCATTAAGTTTTCTTGCATAATTTAATACTACTTTTTATTATACCCTATAAATTGTTTTATCTCTTAAAAGGAATCAAAAAGATGATTACATATTTATAAAATTAGCATCTGAAAAATGAAGAGCACAATTCCAGATTTTACACGCAGTTCCAGTACCATGCATAAGATGTAGGTTACATTTTACATTTCTTTCAGAAATATTAACCGAACAGGATATAGTTACTGCACATCTAAGTTACCAGGCCACCAGGTGAGGGCTGGGACATAAAGATCTATAAAATATGGTACCTGCCCTGAAGACGTTTACCATCCAATAAGTTCTAGACGAAAAAGAAATAAGCTGGGTCACTTATTTTCCCTTTTTGGTGATTCAAAAAATAATATAACATTAGTAACTGCCTGCCAGAGCTAAACATACTGAAAAACACAGATTCATCTCCTTAATGCTTTCCTTTGCACTTGTCATCCAAAGCAATGTGGGGAATTTGGAGAGATAAATTCTAGAATGGGATTTGACACAGAGCGGCCCAATACTGTACCTAATTTGCACTGTGCCATATGCAATACAGTGAAATCCTAACACATTACATTCTATATTGCACTTTGGTTATGAACACACCAATTTCTGTAGTCCAGCCACAAGCTCAAGCAACTGCAGTCTAACTGTCCTTGGAAATCTTCCAACAATGCCAAAGGAGACTTCAGCAATGATTCAAGCATATTTGTATAGGACTTTAAAAAGTACAATAGTTTTAGGTTGATTATCGCACCATTCAAACATACTAATTAAAAAAGGCAACAAGGGTTGCAGGAAGTCAGCAGCTGACAGCCACAGGTAAGGGAAGGCACCCAATGATCCTAATAATCTAGTGAAAATTACTAAGGACTGCAGATCTCGCAAGGATGTGATGATAATTCTCACATGCCTGTTTCTGTCATCACTGATATTGTTTCACTCATAAACTTATTGAGGGTAGCTCCATAGGCTATAAAGGTGCATCATCTTTGCCAGAATAAAATGTCCATGATATCTCGAAAAGTTAAATCACGTTACTGGAAGGTAGTTTATAAGAAACACCTGACTCACAGGTGAAGCCTCCAAGGCCATAGGTAGTCCCTTTAAACTTGAATGTAGGCCAATGTCTGTCAGTTGAAAGAGAACTAGAAAAAAAAAAAAAAATGTGGCCAAGAATACTATAGGAAAATTCTCAGCATGTGTCTTCAACATGTGCAAATTTCTATTTACAGAGAAAAGGTAATTTGGAAAATATAGCCATTTTTGGAAGACTGAGCAGCCAAGGTTCTTAAGTATAGGAGACTGGGACCAAAAAAAAAAAGGTAAATTTGTTCATCAGTCTACTTAGTACATGTTTGGAACTAGAGACTCAAATAGGGAAAATTTTCTCTTAGGCCTCCCCTTCCCCTCTCCAGCACATCTATCAGATAAGTAAGGCTAACAGAAACTTCAATCAGTAAGGTACAGGACAGTGAGATTAGTGCTATAACCGATACCGATCTAAGCATTCCAGAAGAGCTGCTTACAGATACCAGGGAACACCTCAGGGTCCAGATTTGCTTCAAGCATGTACAGAGGACACTGGAATGGACCAAATCAGCAGAGAGCAAAAGCTTTCCAGACAGGAGGTCTAGCTTGTAGAAATACATTGCAATCATGCAGGGACCTACAAGTAAATTGTGTGGATGAGGAACTGGAATTTCAGGTGGAAATTGGGGGATCCAACCTAGAAATGTGGGCAACGACAAAGTCATTAAAGAACAAGATCATGCTACTTGGCCTTTAAGTTGTGGATGATGTAGGAGAAAAACTGAAGGGTTTTAAGCAGGTTCCACAATCACACTTGGGTTCCAAAGAAAACTATTATAGCAGCAACATGATGGATGAAACAGGGTAGACCCAAGACCCAGAGCCAAGGAAATCAGTTAGGAAGCTATGGCAATAACCCAGCAGAGAGATAGAAGGTAAGATAAATGAGGTCAGGGACAGTAGAAGAGAAGAGGCAACTGCTATAAGTATCCAGGAAGCATAATCAAGGTTACTGAATAA